TCCAGCCAGCAGGCGCAGTGAGAGGCCAGGAGGCCCGGGCAGGTCTCTCTGCACCCAGAGGGGAGGGAGCCTGGCCTTGCAGGGGTTAACAGCTTCTTTCTGCTTCTGCTCTGTCTTCCAGGTGGTGATGAAACACTAGTTTGGGGAGCTTTCTTGGGTTTGCAATCACACCTCTGTGGGGCTGGGGGGGCACTCCACTGCTTCCTTCCATGCAAAGGAGTTTCCTTTCTGTAAATGTCAGAGTGGGTGGGGTGAGGGCCAACAGGGCACAGGGCAGCATCCCACTGGCAAGCAGGGGGCCCACCCTGAGCCTCCAGGCCTCCCAGTGATCCACGGGTGACCTTTGGCCCTAGGCCAGCTAAGGCACCTCAAGGCCAGAGGTGGGGCGGGTGAGATTCCAGAGCTGCAGCCAGAGAGACTGGTCCTCCCACCCCTGACCCAAGATTGTTGCCTGAAAGGTCACTGGCTGCCTGGCCAGGGGCCCTGCCTGCACGGGAATCTGGGCTGGGGGCCTTGGGCCTCCCTCAGAGGCCTCCCCTGCGGGGTGGGCTTTGTTCTTCCTCATGTGGACACCCGCACCGTGCTGCTGGGCCCTCTTCTGTCCGATTCTGCCCCTGTGATGCGGAAAACGCACTGGGAAAAGGGCCTAGCACCTGGGAGTGATTTCTGCTCGGTTCATTTTAGCCATGTCCAGGGCGGCTGGAAGCGTGGCCCGTCTGTGGGATGAGATAGATGCACACGTCAATGAGGAAGCACAAAGGGCGGTGGGGTGGGTTTAATTAATGCCATTTCTTTTATCTTCTTAACAATGGCGTGTCAGGAACCTACACTGAATGTGCCCAATTGATACTAATGATTTCATCCTTTTGTTTCTGCTAAGAAGGAAAAAAAGGCTGTCTGCCCAAGCTCACAGCCCCAGCACGAGCCTGGGACTGGGCGGGGCCCTGGAAACCATGTTGAAGCCCTGTCCCAGACTGCCAGTGCCGGCTGGCCACGTCCCTAGCCCCTTCCCACTCTCTCCTCCGCTCTGCTCTGCTGTAATCCCACACATAGGTCCTCCGACATCGGCACCGAGTCCCTGTGAAGTGGAGTGACTGCAGGCTGTGTGTGCACGTGTGTGTCTGTTGGGGCAGTATTTTTGCACTCGGAACCCCTCTTGCTGAATGCCCCCCCCCAATTGCATTCCTCACATATAGGTTTATTTCGAAGATAGAAAAAAAGAATAAGTTTTGCCTTGCTGTCTTCCCCCAATCTTGTCTGTAGTTAGAGTCCACCGCTATTTGGCATAAGTTAGAAAGGGGCAGGTGTGGCACCGGCACTGTGGCTCAGCAGGTTAAGCTACTGCATCCCATACAGGTGCCGGTTCAAGTCCCAGACGCGCTACTTCTGATCCAGCTTTCTGCTGTGGCCTGGGAGAGCAGTAGAAGATGGGCCAAGTTCTTGGGCCCCTGCACCCATGTGGGAGCCAAAATGAAGCTCCTGGTTCCTGGCTTCACATAGGCCCAGCTCTGGCTGTTGCGGCCATTTGGTGAGTGAACCAGCAGATGGAAGACCTCTCTCTGTAACTTTGCCTTCCAAATAAATAAATAAATCTTCAGAAAAAGAGAAAAGGGAAGGTGTGTTGAGAGGCACAGTCATGACCACAAGACTCTCAAGTCACTTCTCACTGTGGCCCTCATCCTCTCCAAAGACTGTCCATAGTGACAGGTGTCAAACGCCGTGGCCTTTTCTCCTCCTCCTGGTCCCAGGGCCAACCACACATCTGGCCCAGGAGAGAGGCCCTGAGGGAAGCGTGCAGCCAGGGTGAAAGCTTTCTGCTACAGATGAAAGACAAATGCACACGCCTGACACCCATGTTGTTGGAATGATACTCCGTCAGCACATGCTGGGTGGGCTGTGGCGCCAGCTTTGGACAGCTGTTAAGATGCCAGAAGGAACTTTGAGAATGGGGTCTTGGTGGCTTCCAGCCACCTCCAGGGTGGCCCTGGCTATTGCGAGAAGACCCCAGCTTGGCCATCTCTACCTGCAGCACACACGGGGCAGTTCTGGGATTTCCAGGCAGGGGCTGGAGGGTGAGCCGCTGTTCACAGCGAGGGCCGTGAGCACGTTCTGAGGGTACGTGTGCACCTGCATGCTCATTATGGTCATTGGGAGGGACTGATGGCCACAATGGGGGTGTCAGAGCCTCCCCCACCCCCATCTCTGACACAGCCTCCAGACACAGCAGGTGGTCCTCAGTCCTCCTGGCATCCTCGGTGAAGCCAAGGCTGCGTGGAGCCTTGCTGAGGTGGCTGACGGCTTCTGGTGCAGCCCCGCATGCACACTCACCCCACACGGCTGCTGGACCCTGGCATGCTATAAATATATCAGCGTTGCCACCCCAGCTCCTGGAGGAGGTCTCAGCATGACAGCCTGCAAAGCCACCCCGCATCTGACTCTCCTCGACAAATCCGGCTTGCTCCAGACAAGCACAAACCTGCACAGATGGCCCCTCACACCAAAAAAGTAAAAATAACAAAGCTTGCGATTCTGGGCCTCCCTGTTTCTCTGGGCAGATGTGCCGGCTGCTCATTTTGGGAGGCGCACAGCCTGCATCCTGGCAGCCAGTGCACTCCTCCTGTGCGTTCTCTCACCCCTTCTGGCATACTGGTACTCTTGCAAGTGTTTGGGATGGGGGACCCAGAGGGGCGGCTTGGTGTGGACAACGCATCCCTTACACAACTTGCCAAGACTGGCCACACGGCCATCCAGAAGACAGCCAGGGAAGGGGCTCCAGGGTGGAGCCAGGAAGAAGAGGGGGCAAGGGGCTGCCTCACGAGGCCAGGATGTGCTAAGGGCAAGTGGCTGAGTGGGACAGGATGCTCTAGACGCACAGGTATGTTTGAACCGCCCGGATCCCAGGCAGCTGGAGGAGCCTCGGTGGCACATGAATTCTTTTGATTGCTGATTGCTGAGAGCTTCCTGTCCAGGCCCTGGGTATGGTTACGGACAAGACAGACCGAGAGAGCAGAGGCCCAGAGCACACACAGTCACAGCCTCTGTGGACTGGGTGGCCACAAACTCAACAGTCAGGAAAGCCAGAGCAGGTGAGGAGAGAGGCAGAGCAGGCTGGGGACCCTGGCGGAGCCACTCACAGGCTGGTTCCCCCTCTGATGAGCCCTGGAACTCCCAGGCTCCTCCAGAAGTGGCAGCCACAGCTGGATGAGATAAGGGCATCCAGCTGCGAGTGGAACACAATTCAAACCTCTAGGGGATAAAAAAAAAAAGGCATTTCTGGATTCAGAGGTGTCCCTGGCCTCTGGCGAGGCTTCTCAGGGGTCCAGCTCGTGTCACAAGTGTATTCCTTCTCTGATCACTGCGGCCAGGGCAGTGCCGGGCTCTGAGCGGCCAAGCACCTGTCGTGGGCCAATCCTCAGGGCTGCGCTGGAGTCAGCCCAACAGAACTGCCTGGCTCCCCTGAAAAGGGAAGGACACTGGACTGGCACAACCAGCAAGTACAGGAACAACAAAGACGCGCCCAGACGAGTGACAGCAGAGGCAGGCGCGCTATGAAACAGCTGCAAACATCCTGCTTCCAAGAGCGGGGCTCCTCTGGCTGCAATGGGGCATCTACCCCCGTTAACCCGCTCAACGATCCAAACTGCACAGAGCCGGCCTCTGTGCCAGGCCAGAATGCAAGGAGGGCTCTGGACGCCCCTGTGAGGAGGTCAATCTACCACCTTGTTTCAGGGGTGGGAGGTGCAGGTCTCCCCCTCAGCACAAGCAGTAGGGCGAGTCCCTGAAGGAATCCGCCTGGGACCTCCCAGAAAACAAACCTTGAGGGAAGCACCGGCGGCAGGGGTGGGGTGGGGGTGCTTGGAGAGCAGGAAAGTGCGGTCCCCGACCACGTGGGCTCCTCCCCAGCAGCGAGGGGCCAGGGACAGTGCAGGGCCCTCCGTCAGCGCTTTTCTCCTTTTGAGTCACTTCGTGCTCCCACAGTCCTACAGGCCCCACGTCAGAGTGGAAACCGAGAGAGAAACAAGGGGGAGGTTCAACAGCTTGCCCAAGGTCACAGGCAGGAAGCCTGGCTTCATCGACCGCGGTTAGCCAGCCCCGCGCCCTTCCAGCCGGATGCCCCATAAGGAGCTCCTGTAGACCCCAACACTAACCCTCCCTGGAGTCTGGCAGCCCAGCTCCTGCCGGGGCCATGCGCTTCTATAAATCTCTATGCGCTCTAGTTCCCCTCCTAGGCCACCCCACCCTGTCTCCCCCCCACTAAAGGCCTCCAGGCCCCAGCCAGTCCGGGCGGACAACTCGGCTAGGCCCCAAGCCGATTCTGCGTGCGGCGCCTCCGGGTCAGTCACGCGGCACGAACGGAGGAGGAGGAGGGGAGAGCAGGGAGGCCTGCCCGGGAGAACGCCGCTCCGGGAAAGAGCTGCGAGTACCCTGGGCGCCGCCTCGGCGGGGGCGCTGCCGACCCCCGGCCCCAGAGCAGTCAGGGGAGGAGGCGCTGTCTGGTTTACCGCGAGGTGGGGCCAGAGGTTCCGGCCCTCTCCATCCCCGCCACGCCTGGGCCTCCTCTGGGGGCGCCACCTGTGCGACCCGGGCCTTACCGGGGAGTCCCAGGCCAGGCCCAGCCCCGAGGCGCGGTAGCGGAACTCCCAGGGCCCCAGCGCCAGGAGCCGGGCTGCCTGTGGTCGCGCCACTTGGTCGCCACGTGGCTTTAGACAAGGAAAATGGGATAGCAGCTTCCACCTCGCATGGCTATCGCAGGGCTATTACGTTGCCCAGGACAGGACCTGGCAGGGTTGCCACGGCTATTATGGGCTTAGCAGAACCAGAGAACTGACGATGGGTCTGGGGCCCGGCCGCCGCCGCCCAACCCGGCCTCCAGGCGGGCGCAAGCGCTGCGAGCCGCAGCCGGCCCCGCCCCTCCGCGCGCAGGCTGCGCTCCACGTGCTGCGTGTTTACCCACGTGATGCAGCCCCGCCCCCGAAAGGCTCCACCCCCGGCCCGCCCCCTCCGCCGGCGTCACGGCGGCGGTCCGGCTGCCACCTGGCCCTGGCTACACATGGGGCTGCGCCGCGCTGGGCTGAGAGAGCACGGCCTCATGTCGCCCCGACGTCCGCCTGGGCGACTGGAGCTGGCCGCTCACTCCCCAGGCGGGCCAGGGCAAGAAAGGCTTTGCTTGGAGACCCGCTGCTCCGGAGCGCGACCCAGTCAGGCCCAGCGCAGGGCCGCTTGGGGGCGCGCACCATGGAAGGGGCGTGGCCAGAACAGCTGTGGGCGTGGCCGGGCGTGCGCAGGCTCTCCAGCGGCTTCCCCGGGCCACCGATTCAGCCACGTGTTCCGTGGTGGCTGGGAGCAGGTGCGCGGGCCGTCTGGGGCTGGCCTTGGCTCTGCGAGACAACCGGATGAAACTCTCGAAAAGGTACGCGCCCAGATTCCTCGGCAGAGCCACTGCCTCAGCCTTGGTCCTTGCCTTCTGTCTTCCTGGGGCCACCCTCCTGCTGTCTCACGTCCCAGGTTCCTGCTGCCCAGGGCTCAGGCCTCGGGAGCTCTGGATTCCGGGCTTCTGGAACATATCTATCCTTTTAAAATTTTTTAAAAAGATTTTAAAGGATTTATTTATTTATTTAAAAGGCGAATCAGAGAGAGAGAGAGACAGAGATCTTTGGTTTAACTTAGGTGTACCAGGGACTTTCCTAAGTGCTTTGTGAGCATTAACTACATCTGAATCCTTAGCCTCCCGCCCAGACTACTCGCGCTCAGAGCACCATTTTTTTTTTAAGATTCATTTATTTAAAATGCAGAATGACAGAGAGAGGGAGAGACAGAGGGAGAAAGAGATATTCTGTCCACTGGTTCACTCCACAAATGGCCTCAAGGGCCAGGACAAGGCCACGACCAAGCCAGGAGCCAGGAACTCCATCTTGGTCGCCCGTGTGGGTGGCAGGGGCCCAGCATCTGCTGCCTTGCCAGGCGCATTAGAAGGAAGCTGGATCAGACGTGGAGCAGGCAGGACTTGAACCTGTGTCGCAGGTGGCAGCTTAACCCGTGGGCCACAGTGTGCCCCAAGGCACTGAGTTCTTACATCCACCCTCTTTCAGAAGGCCTCCCCGAACCCGCCTGCGTGAGGTGCAGTCCCTCTTCCTTCATCTTTGCAGTGAGGGATGTGCTGGCTCCACTAACCCCAAACAGGACTTCAGTCTTTCGTTGTTTACATTGTTTTCTAGTTTATTTATTTGAAAGGGTGCGAGAGAGAGAGAGAGAAACTCCTTATCTCCAAATGCCCCCAACAGCTGGGGCTTGGACCAAGCTGAAGCCAGGACTCAGGAACTCAATCTGGGTCTCCCCTTAGGAAACCAAGGGCTTCGCTGGCCCCCTGCTGCCTCCCAGGGTGCGCATTAGCTGCAAGCTTGAACCCAGACACTCCCATATGGTAGGAGGGTGTCCCCAGCGGCGCCTTCACTGCAACACCAAACGTCAGCCAGGGCTTCCGTCTTGACCCCTCGGTGTCCTCAGCCCCGAATCCCATGCATCCTGCCCTCCTCCACCGTGATTCTCTGCTACACTCATCTCTGTGCCTGGAAAAGCCGCAGCATGCCTTGCCTGGGCTCAGTCCGGATCCGTTGTCCTCCTCCTGTCTTTTCTCCCACAGCGGCAGGGATCTTTTGTAAGCGTTAGTCTGAAACCTGAACCTCTTCAGCTTGGCCAGTGGCAGAAAGAAGAGAGGGGTGGATGCCTTTGGGCCCTGCCCCTGTGAACACAGAGCTTGAAAGTCCTGGCCAGTGCCAGAAGGTGAGAAACCGACCGAGGCAAGGAGTGGAAGCAAAAGGCAACGTGGTAAGACAGTGTGGCTTATTTTATTTAAGATTTATTTATTTATTTATTTGAAAGTCAAAGTTACACAGAGAGAAGGAGAGGCAGAGAGAGAGAGAGAGAGAGAGAGAGACAGGTCTATCCACTGGTTCACTACCTGGTTGGCTGCAATGGCCGGAGCTGAGCCGATCCGAAGCCAGGAACCAGGAGCTTCCTCTGGGTCTCCCACGCAGGTGCAGGGACCCAAGGACTTGGGCCATCTTCTACTGCTATCTCAGGCCATAGCAGAGAGCTGGATCAGAAGTAGAGCAGGCAGGAATTGAACGGGTGCCCATATGGGATGCCGGTGCTGCAGGCAGTGGCTTTACCTGCTGTGCCACAGCGCTGGTCCCGTCACACGATGCAATTTATTAAGATCAGAGCATAAGGGCTGGCTTTGTAGCGCAGCAGGTTAAGCTGCTGAATGTGATGCTGGCGTCCCGTATGAGTGCCACTTCAAGTCCCTCCCAGCTGCTCCTCTGCGATACAATTTCCTGCTAATGTGCCTGCAAAGGCGGAGGATGACCCAAGTGCCTGGGCTCCTGCTATCTGCACGGAAGACCAGAATGGGGTTCCTGGCTCTTGGCTTTGGCCTCGCGTAGCCCCAGATGTTACAGCCACGTGGGGAGTGAACCAGTGCATGGTCACTCTGTCTTTCAAATAAAATAAATAAATCTGTAAACACAAAGCAAAACATTTGGTAGACAAACTGACTTAATGAAAAAGTTGAATAGGCGGTTTAAGATTAAGAATATGGGGCTGGCCAGCGCCGCGGCTCACTAGGCTAATCCTCTGCCTTGCGGCGCTGGCACACCGGGTTCTAGTCCCGGTTGGGGCGCCGGATTCTGTTCCAGTTGCCCCTCTTCCAGGCCAGCTCTCTGCTGTGGCCCGGGAGTGCAGTGGAGGATGGCCCAAGTACTTGGGCCCTGCACCCCATGGGAGACCAGGAGAAGTACCTGGCTCCTGCCATCAGATCAGCGCGGTGTGCCGGCCATGACGGCCATTGGAGGGTGAACCAACAGCAAAGGAAGACCTTTCTCTCTGTGTCTCTCTCTCACTGAAGACACTGCCGTGTCCCCGCTTTAGGTAAAAATGAAACTTTGAGATTAAATGGTATTTTGGCGTGTGCATGGTGGGCTAAGCCTCTGCCTGTGGGGTTGGCATTCCATATGGTGCCGGTTTGTGTCCTGGCTGTTCCACTTCTTATCCAGCTCTCTGCTTATGCACGTGGAAGAGCAGTGGAAGGTGGCCCAAGTGCCTGGGCCCCTGCTCCCAGTTGGGAGATCCAAGAGAAACTCCTGGATTGTGGCTTCATTCTGGCCCAGTGGTGGTCATTGTGGCCATTTGGGGAGTGAATCAGTGAATGGAAGACCCTTCTCTCTGTCTCTTCGTCTCCTTGTCTGTAACTGCTCTGCAAATAAATAAATTTTTTTTTTTTAAAAGAAGATGAAAAGGGGCCAGTGCTGTGGTGCAGTGGGTTAACACCATGGCCTGAGGCGCTGGCGTCCCATATGGGTGCCGGTTCAAGACCTGGCTGCTCCACTTCCAATCCAGCTCTACTGTGGCCTGGGAAAGCAGTAGAAGATGGCCCAAGTCCTTGGGCCCCTGCACCCACGTGGGAGACCTGAAAGAAGCTCCTGGCTCTTGTCTTTGGATCGGCGCAGCTCCGGCCATTGCGGCCAATTGGGGAGTGAACCAGCGAATGGAAGACCTCTCTCTCTCTCTGCCTCTCCTCTCTCTCTGTGTAACTCTGACTTTCGAATAAATAAACCTTAAAAAAAAAGATGAGAATATAAAGTTAATAATAGATTCTTTTGCAGTAACAATGCATTTCTTAGGAATGTAATAAAAAGATATCCTGTACAATCCTGAAGTATTATGCATTAACCTAATGAAAAATACCCAAGTTTTTTTTATTAAAAGATTTATTTTATTTATTTGAAAGACAGAGTTACAGAGAGGTAGAAAAAGAGAGAGGTCTTCCATCTGCTGGTTCACTCCCCAGGTGGCCGCAGCAGCAGGAGCTATGCGGATCCAAAGCCAGGAACCAGGAGCTTCTTCCGGGTTTCCTACACAGGTACAGGGGCCCAAGGACTTGGGTCATCTTCTGCTTTCCCAGGCCATAGCAGAGAGCTGGATCGTAAGTGGAGCAGCCGGGACTATATGGGATGCCAGCACTTCAGGCCAGGGCTTTAACTTGCTGCACCACAGCGCTGTCCCTACACAAGATCTTTAAGAAGAAAATTTAAAATTCTAATGCGTCGATTTAAAAAGACCTGATTTTTTTTTTTTTTTTTTTTTTTTTTGACAGGCAGAGTGGACAGTGAGAGAGAGAGACAGAGAGAAAGGTCTTCCTTTTTTGCCGTTGGATCACCCTCCAATGGCCGCCGCTGCAGCCGGCGCACCGCGCTGATCCGATGGCAGGAGCCAGGATCCAGGTGCTTTTCCTGGTCTCCCATGGGGTGCAGGGCCCAAGCACCTGGGCCATCCTCCACTGCACTCCCTGGCCATAGCAGAGAGCTGGCCTGGAAGAGGGGCAACCGGGACAGAATCTGGCGCCCCAACCGGGACTAGAACCCGGTGTGCCGGCGCCGCAAGGTGGAGGATTAGCCTATTGAGCCACGGCGCCGGCTGATTTTTTTTTTTTAAAGAGAGAGATCTTCCATCTGCTGGTTCACTCCCCAGATGGCAGCAATCACTGGGGTTAGGCCAGGCCATAGCCAGGAGCCAGGAGCCTCATCTGGGTGTCTCACATGGGCGAGGGCCCAAACAATTGGTCCATTTTCTGCTGCTTTCCCAGGCACATTAGCAGGGAGCTGGATCAGAAGTGGAGCAGCGGAACTTAAACTGACACCCAAATTAGATACCAGCATTGCAGGCGGTCGCTTTATACTCTATACCACAACTCCAGCACCAAGACCTGGGATAATGTCTTAACTTTAAATAAATTTAAGTTTTCTACCAAATAATCTGTATAGTTAATTCAATTCTGCTAAAAATTCTAGCCTAACGTTACTGGAACTTGAAAAGTAAATTCTGGGGCTGGTGCTGTGGCATAGCGGGTGGAGCTGCTACCTGCAGCACCAGCATCCCATATGGGCGCTGGTTCGAGTTCCGGCTGCTCCTCTTCTGATCCAGCTCCCTGCTGGTGCACCTGGGGAAGCAGCAGAGGATGGCCCACCCGACTGACCCACCTCAGGAAGCCAGATGGTGTCTGGTGCTAGGAGAGACTGTTAGTGTGTCAGCAGGTGTAGCAAAACTGCTCACATGCACACCTAGGGCTAACTGGGGTAAGCAGCGCAGCGGAGACGTCAGGAGGCGTGCACTGTCGGGTCAGCCTCCACTGGCGTGGCCCTGTGAGGCCCATGGCACCTCCTTGTCTCACCCTGGGCCCAGCCCTGCACCTGGGGCAGCAGCAGTTCCAGCATTGGGTTTACTCCTGGAGCGGCTGCTCAGAGGCCTCCAGTGGTACTTAGGAGCACAGAGTTGTGGGTGTCTCCTGCAGTGGGCCTCGTCCCATAGAGTTTGGTGAATGAAGACAGCGATGGGGGCTTTCGTGGGGGACGAAATTGTTCAGTTCTTGGCCTTTGTGGGGGGACTTGGGGAAGCTGGTGAATGAAAGCTGAGAGCAAAAGGCAGCCTGATTCTCCTCTGCTGTCTCAGGAATGAGACCAAAGATGGTATCTGTGTCTGCCTTTGGGAGGGTTTTATGGGTTTCTGCATTTTTTTTTAAAGATTTCCTTATTTACTTATTTGAAAGGCAGACTCAGAGAGAATGTATCTCCCATCTGCTTGTTCACTGCCTAAATGCCCACAACAGCCAGGGCTGGGCCAGGCTGAAAGCAGCAGCCAGGAGCTCCATCTGGGTCTCCCACGTGGGTGCAGGGTCCAAGGACTTGGGTCATCACTGCTGCTTTCTCAGGCGCTGGGTCGGTAGTGGAGCAGCCAGGATTTGAACTGGCGCCCCCATGGGATGCCACATGCCAGCCCTGGTCTCTGAGCTCTTATCACTGATTCCCCTGCTCCTGCCCTCAGGAAGTGACTTTGGACTTGACTGGGGAGAGAGTAGGTCAGTAGCTGGGCTAGGGTCGTCTGCACGGGTTAGGTGTGTTTGTACTACACCTGTAAGGAATCAGGGATCAGAGGGTTCGAGATCAAAGCAGACAGGACTTAGAGGGCAGAGCCTTGGCTTTGGAGTGTACACACCTATGTCCTAGACCCTTTTCTACTTCTAGAGATGTGAGCTTGGGCAGGAGACCCTGCCACCTAAGTCTTGGTTTTCTTCCCAATGAGTGGGGAATAAAGATGAAGCCTAACTCAGGGGGTTGGAGTCAAGGGGAAGAAGATATTCGAAACCAGTTCTCTCCCTTCTTCCCTCTCTCTCTCTCTCTGTCTCTTTTTTAAAAAGATTTATTTATTAATTATTTGAAGGTAGAGTTACAGAGAGACAGAGGTAGAGACAGAGAGGTCTTCCATTCACTGGTTCACTCCCCAAATGGCCACAACAGCCAGAGCTGTGCCCATCTGAAGCCAGGAGCCAGGAGCCTCTTCCAGGTCTCCCACATGGGTGCAGGGGCCCAAGGACACTGACAGGTGGACATTCTCATTCCTTGTTTTTTGTGTGTGTGTGTGTGTTTTCCCCACACACTCCTTATTACCAGAGTGTGGAGACCCCTCAAAAGCTGAGAAGCAGGGCACGTATTAGAGCCGGTTAACTCGAGTCCCGGTCCCACGTGGCTTCAGGATGAGGCTGCCCTTGGAGCTGTGGGAGCGACGAAGCAGCCCTTGGGGAGGGAGGGAGAGAGGTGGAGCAGGGACTGTAGGATGTTCATTTCCCCAGTCGACCTGACCAGGCTAAGGGATGCCCACACAGCTCAGTGTGTCTGTGAGGGTCTCTGCACTGGAGTCAGCCCGTCACCCAACCTGGGTGAATGTTGTGCAACCCGCTGACGGCTCAGACAGAGCTGAAAGGCTTGCGGGGAGAG